ATATTGACTTTGATCTCTGCATAATTTTCACACTCAATTTTAGCCTCGAACACTATCATGTTTAAAATGACTGACCACCTGTTTCTCGAGGAGTCGCTCGATCTCAAAGATCTAGGAAATGGTATTAAATTAATTTTTTCACGAACGAGTTCATTTCTAATCATTCTATTAAAAATTTCAGTTTTGGGTTGTGGAGATTGTTAAAATCCATTGAAATCATTAACCGACCAATGTTAGACCACCATTAAAAACCTGGAAGCACCGACTGTCCGTTTCGTTTTAGTATAGGACTCCTCATCAGTTCACATCCACGACTCCGCACACGGGCTTCGAACCCAGGACCTTCGGCTTCGCGCACGAGTGCCGGCTTGGGGGTCTAGAGGTTAAGATCAAGTCTGGGTGAATAATTGGTCTATACGTCCACGTTCAGTTTGCTTCTCATAAGCTTTGGTTAGACGTCGAAGTATTATTGATGATAAAATTTTAGTTAAAATAGTAGTTAAATTGATTTATCTGTGATTGCCACAAGAGGAGTTTTGTACTTTCTTACAACCTGGGACGATCAGCGATCGAAACCAATAGGATGGGATCACGTCCAGTTCCCAGAGTTTAACTAAGATCTCAGTCAACCTAACTTCGAAAACTGGACCACCATCCTTAAAAATCTCAGTTTGGTTCATCAACCGCTGCTACTGTCCTTCGCTCTAGATTACTTATGGCCTTTCTAATCTCGCTAAGAGTTGGGAGTCGTACATCAATTTATCATTCAGGTCTCTTCGAGATAGTAGATAACTGTAGTATGGCTGAAGGCCAGTCGAACTGTTTCCTAAAGTTTTCTGTCCATCGGTGCAATATCCTGGATCGAGAGTGAATAATAGTCCTGTCTTTTTTCAAGGTAATTTCACTAACAACCGGATTTTCAATTCCCGTTTCCTTGATAAGTCGGAACAGTTGTCTACTGTTACCTATCGTTGCTACCTTTTCCTTTCTCTTCTGCTTTGGCTACCCACCACTGTTTACGATCATTACGTGGGCTTTTTGTCAGCCTACGTTTAAGCCGCCCCCCTCCTCATCGTGTTCAGAGCCAGATGAGATGAAATCTAGAGCATTTATCAGTTCAGCAGGACCCGCTGAAATCCACTGAATTTTCCTAACTTTTATGTTTAAGTTATCTGTAGACATCACTGCTGTTTGCACAGCTTTCTGGATATCACACCAAGTTACCTCGAGGTGGATATCACTTCCACGGTTTACTAATTCGATTGTCTAGCTGTTCGTGAAATATATTCTTTACTTTTTCGCCATTGAGTTGAAATTTATGGGTTTTTTTTGCTGTGGCTTTTCTACGTCCAGTAATATGCAGGCAAATATGTGCTTGGACTAGAGCATGATGCGTGTCTGGACATACGCTGCAGAATGAGCAATAGTTGTGTCACTCCTCTCAAACGGTAGCTGATGATAATGTGGCCTATTTGAGACCATTGTTAGGTCGATTGTAGGGGTGGCTACGTTAGACAGTGTTTCTTATTATATTTAAAGTTGGTGTTTTCTAGAAATAGACAATTATCTGAGTTTAGTTGCAACAGACGGTCGTCATTATCTGTTTGCTGAGCCTCAACACTTTAAGATCTGCCCAAGTGCTTCCCGGTTCGGTTTGGTTTACGTACTTGAGCATTAGAATCACCCTACAATATTACTAGATCTGAGTGTTTAGCTTATTAAAGGAGGTTAGGTAGCTTCGTATAAAATCCATCTTTAACTTCGTCTAAGCTGCAATCAGTGAAAATGTAGACAAGGACAAATAATAGGTAACGGAGTATGCCCCTATCTTACTGTCTCGTTTCGTCGAACAGCACACAAGTGACTGTATTGGAATCCAGTCTAACAGGGTCTGTTCTACTTCAGGATTTCATGTTGTACCTACATCAGTGAGGACGCGAGGAGTAGCAGTGTGGTCTTCAGATACTCGAAGGGTGAATCGTGTCGGTTCTTTATATTGACGAGATGAAGTCAAGTGAATGACCGTACCTCGATCTTGTACACGCGTTTTGGAAACTCAGCATACATAGATGGCGCGAGATTCTAGATTCCTAGCTAAAAAGGCCTGCTTTCTTATCTGACACAAGGTTCGAACATGAATAGCTCCAACATGTTTAGAATGGGGTTACTGGAGACGAGGGATAACATTTCGCGAACCCACTGGCATTGGTGGCCCGTTGTAATGAAAATAGATGAGAAGAATTAGTTCTGGAGGTGGGAGAATTATTAGCAGGTGAGTGATGAATTCGATCGTCAACCAGATGATCTCAAATGCTGATAAAGATATGAAGGGGAATTTCACTTCCTGATTGCCCACACCGTAGAAGAATATACGTTCTTGGGGGACCTAAAAGGAAGCTGGATTGGTTGTGATCTTAGCGACCTGGGAGCGTGACTGCAGGACCTAAGGGACAACTGCTTGGGGCTGTGCACAGCCTTTTCATGAGAAGATTTTGACTCCACACTTCCAAAAGCCCTACCGCCGTAGACGGAAATACGTGGGGTAAGGTGAGGTGTAATATTTTTAGGGTTGGCCCTTTCTAACTTCTTTCTGTTGTGAGAAGGCAGCATCTCTGCAGATGCTGGTTGTTTGGGAGACACCTTACTGTTGTCACTCCCCTCTACAGTCATCTGTGCGACTTCGCTCTTGGACCCTTAAAAGTTGCTGAGTTTAGTCTTAGCGTTCTTCAAACAACCTCTCTGGCATAGTAGGACCTAAAGGATCATGTGTTCCAGTCAATATAACTCGGCTGAGTCATCACGATAGGCAAGCCAATAAAGTGTCACATTAAGATTAACCTAAGGGTACCCCCCAATAATGATCAATTGTTATCGTGCTAAAAAGTCAATTTTCTAAATACGCTTATATTTACGTCTTAGAAATTTTGCGTTTACTTGGTAATCTTAATGTATACAAATCACATAACCTTATAAATCATATTTTCCTGGTTGAATTAAGGTGAAGCCAATACGGTTAGCATTTGTCGCTTAGATGTCGGGAATCTAAATATAGCCCAACTATGTACTCTTTCAATGAAATGAAAATTGAAGAGGTATGCCGTTACAGATAATGGTTACCGACTGCAGTATTATACTTCCCAATAAGACAAAGTTTCCGTGAGGTTACAACAAAACTTTACAAACTCTTTTACCGGTTTTTAACAGTGATTCTGAAACCTATGTAACGTAAAGATTGGAATGTGATGGATAAACATGAGGTTTGACTGGTTATCCCCAGTAATTTCTCTCTAGTGTATTAAGTCCGAGATCGAACGTTAAACTGTACAACTGGGGTAACATGATGTTTTAAGGCACATGGTAAATGAGATTCATCTGTGCTCATACTTCAGGTCTTCAAAAGACTGGTTACCACTAGATTAAGAATCATATCAAAAGTCCTAGATTGAGAATAATCAGTCCATCAATCGATGACTAGTAGCGTAAAGAGAATCGCATTTGCTCAGACAAATATCAAAAGGTTGTAGCCTATTATGTTATTTACATTGTTCAATGTTTTTGCACTTTAGAATTTTTTAGTGATGTACTTTTCTCATTCTGCCTCCATATCATTACTGTAGCTCCTCTCCTACGAAACCAACAAGAAGAGTATCGGAAATTACAAACAGAGTTGAAAGAGCTTACGTCTTGTTATCAATGTACAGCGAAGAAGTTAGAAGAAGCGCAGTTGCAAAAGCGAGAGAGTGAGCGACGTGCTGGATTTTACCATCGAGAGACCAGTAGACTTAAACAAACGTGCTCCGACCTATCCAAACAAGTAAGCAGATGACCCTGTTGTTATACGTCTTATTCAGTACTTGCATATCATTGCTCCTACAAATTAATTGAAGTTTACGGACTCCTGGTCACGTTTGTCTTCTGCGAAACTTTCCGAAGAAAAATGGATGAATTACGTCAGTTTTCATTTAATTAATGATCTCCAACACTACTGATTCTGTTTCATGCAGTTGAGTAAGAGCACTTTTCAGAAAATCTGAGGAAATGTCAAGATATCTTTCGATCATATTTTTATTTACTTGCGCTTGTTACTCGTGGAGGAGCATAGGCAGCCCACCAGCACTCTCCATCCAACCCTGTCCTGGGCAATCCTTTCCAGCTCCTTCCAGTTGTTACTCATCCTTTCCATGTCTGCTTTTATTTCCCGACGTAATGTGTTCTTTCGCCTTCCTCTTTTCCGCCTTCCTTCAGGATTCCAAGTTAGGGCTTGTCTCGTGATGCAGTTTGACGATTTGCGTAACGTATGTCCTGTCCATTTCCATCGTCTTTTCCTAATATCCTGTTCAGCTGGAAGCTGGTTTGTTCTCTCCCACAAAAGGCTGTTGCTGATGGTATCCGGCCAACGGACATCGAGTATCTTGAATAAACAATTGTTTATAAATACTTGTGCCTCTTTGATGATGGTTGTAGTAGTTCTCCAAGTTTCAGCTCCATACAGTAGAAACGCCTTGACGTTCGCATTGAAGATTCTGACTTTGATATTGGTTGACAGTTGTTTTGAGTTCCATATGTTCTTCAATTGTAGGAATGCTGTTGTTGCTTTGCCGATCCTCGCCCTTACGTCTGCATCCGATCCCCCTTGTTTACCGATGATGCCTCCCAGGTACGTGAAGGATTCTACATCTCCCAGAGTTTCGCCATCAAGAGTGATTGGATTGCTGTTCTCCGCTTTGAATTTGAGGACCTTGGTTTTCCCGTTGTGTATGCTGAGGCCTACTGATGCAGAGACTGCTGCTACACTGGCTGTCTTTATCTGCATTTGTTCATGTGTATGCGATAGGAGGGCTAGGTCACCTGCGAAGTGCAAATAATCTAATTGATTCTCAGCTGTTAATTGTATTCCGTGTTTTCCCTCAGATGTCGCGGTCTTCATAATCCGATCGACCACCAGAAGAAAGAGGAAGGGTGAGAGTAGACAGCCTTGTCTGACTCCGGTTCTTACTTGGAATGCGTCTGTCAGCTGTCCTCCATGCACAACTTTGCACTGTATTCCGTTGTATGAGTTCCGTATGATGTTGACGATATTCTTAGGAACTCTGTAGTGTCGAAGAAGTTTCCATAACGTTCACCTATCCACGCTGTCAATTACTTACTTATGGTCACAAAAGTTGGTATATGGTGACGAGTTCCACTCAATTGGTTGTTCGATGATGATCCATAGTGTCGCGATTTGGTCTGTGCACAACCGATGCATATGGAATCCAGCTTGTTGATTTCGAATCTGAGCGTCTACCGAATCTTTCTGGGTCAGCAACACTGTTGAAAACTTTTCCTGGTATTGATAGTAGTGTGCTGTCTACGTAGTTCTCACATTTGCCCAGATCTTTCTTTGGTATCTTGATGAGGTATCCTTCTTCGCAGTCTTTCGAGACTTGTTCTTCCTCACAGATCTTTCTGAATAGAACGTGGTGCATGTTTGCAGTTGATTCTCTGTCCGACTTTAGTGCTTCAGCTGGCATATTGTCGGGTCCTGCTGATTTCCCTCTCTTGATTTATTTGATGACCATCCTGATTTGTTCTGTCGTTAATGAAGTGACATCTATAGGAAGGTTTGTGTGTGCTGCTTCGATGTTCGGTGGATTCATTGGAGCCGGCCTATTAAGGAGTTCCTCGAAGTATTCTACCCATCTGTTGTTGAATTTCAGTGATTGGCCTGCCTTCTTTGTCCTTGACCGGTCTCTGTGGTTTATTGTACTTCCCTGCTAGTTTCTTCGTTGTATCGTAAAGCTGTTTCATATTTCCTTCTCTTTCCGCTTTTTCTGCCGTCGTTAATTTTTCCACGTATTTCTTCCTGTCGGCTCTGATGCTCCTCTTCACTTGCTTGTTTGTTTCTATGTATTCAGCTTGTGCTTGGACTTTCTCTGCTCGTGTTCGGCTGTTGTTAATTGCTGTCTTCTTGTTCTTCCTTTCTTTGATCTTGTCCAGTGTTTCTATAGAGATCCATTCTTTACGATGGTGCTTCTTTAGACCCAGAACCTCTTGACACGTTGAAGTTAATACTTCTTTGATACCTTTCCATTTGTCCTCTATAGTAGTTTCTTCTTCCTTCAGTAGATCGTGTAAGGCTTGGAACTTGGTGTTGAGAGTTATCTTGAATTCGTTGAGTTTGTCAGTATCTCGAAGGAAGGCTGTATTGAACCTTTGTAGTGCTGTTTGTCCAGTTGTCTAGTTCTTGTTTAGCTTCAGTTTTAAATTGGCCACAACTAGATGGTGATCTGAAGGTATATCAGCTCCTCTCCTGGTTCTCACATCGGAATTTTTTATTGATGCAGATATGATCTATCTGGTTCTCTGTAGTGTGGTCCGGTGAGATCTATGTAGCTTTGTGTATACGTTTGTGTGGAAATATTGTGCTACCTATGACCAATTTGTTGAATGTACACAGATCTGCAAATCTTTCTCCATTTTCGTTTCTCTCAACCAGTCAATGTCGTCCCATGATATCTTCATATCCAGTGTTGTCTATTCCAACTTTGGCGTTTAGATCTCCCATCAGAATGGTGAGGTCCTTTCTTGGGCACTTCTCTATGATTGACTGCAGGCGCTCGTAGAATTGATCTTTGATGTTGTCGTTGCTATCGTTGGTGGGTGCATAACATTGGATAATATTCATTGTGATCCCCTCCTTCTTTGTTTTGAATGATGCTTTGATGATTCTGGATCCGTGAGATTCCTATCCTACAAGTGCATTTCGTTCTACTTTGGACAGCATTAGAGCAACTCCCTGAGTGTGTTGAGCATCTTTCTCTTCGTGACCGGAGTATAGTAGCATCTCTCCCGTATTTAGCCTTTGTTGTCCAGCTTGGGTTCAATGGGTTTCGCTGATTCCCAGTACTGCCAAGTTGTATCTCCTCATTTCCGTTGCTATTTGACTGGTCTTTCCGGTCTCCCACATTGTTCGGACGTTCCATGTACCTATAAAAATTTTTGCTCTGGTTGTTAGAAGGGGCATCGGCCTCGTGGCTTCCGAAGAAACTCAGCTTTCACCATGAAGCGTCATAATTCTTCTAAATGAAGACCTTCTAACTTTCAGGGCAGAGTTTAAATGGTTTGAATTATTTTATTCTGGTAAGCGTTTTTTAGCGAGTTAGTTTTCTACGGGATGGGGACGCTAACTCCATGCCCAACCCTCCTCCTTTACCCGGGCTTGGGACCGGGAGTAACTGTAGAAGAACTACAGGCGGAGGTGATCATATTGTGAAGCTACCAGTAAATATCCAAGCAGCCTAAACTACCACTCTGATCTTTGTATTGAATTGCAGAAATGATCTAAATTTCGAAAAGCTCCTAGACCCACTAAGACCGCATCCTAAGCTCACTATTTTAAAACTTCTGTTAAAATGATAAGCTTCAAAAATGGGATTGTACAGAGAATCTAGGTCAGATGTGCTTCATATATATTGGCTATAACATGATTGTAATCTAGACTTAAGAGTCAGGTGTGCAATAGTTATACAAAGTTAATGTGCAGTGTAGAAGCTTCAGGTAGTTGTAATCAATACACGAAATGGGATTTATCATTGGGTAACATGACGCGAAACCAATAATAGTAATAAGATTTTTGTTCGATGTAGTTGATCATACGCATAATTTTTGTATTATCGACTTATTCGTTCGGTAATGTCAGTTCTCTTTCATTATTATTACAGTATATAGTCACCCGAGTTGATATACTACTGTGCTACGTTTTATGTTAGGTTATTCAGCTGAAAGCACGACATATTTTTTGTCGGTAGATCTGCAAACACTGAACAGCATATTTACCCAGTGATACAATAATATGAATTCTTTGGCTGCTAATCAATTTTATATATTCATCCCATTCTTATCATGTATTTATTTTGAGTTTTTTAAGCCTTTTTTTAAACCTGACGTTTTGCATGAATTCTTTACAGGTGAAGTCTCTGCTGTATGAAGTTGAAGTATCTAGGGGGACTGTTATTCGTAATGAGGGAGATTTTTGTGCCAAGTCAGACATAAGGAATTCAAACGAACCTGAAGATCATCCGGTTCCAGATAGCTCAGTGGATATAACCAATGTTTCAAGCGTGTTGGAAAATCTAGCCTCCTCTGCAATGATTATTGATGATCATCTTGTCACATGGAAAAACTTGGATGAGCTACAGTCTCAAAATCAACGGCTGCTCTGCGTTGCTCGTGATCTTGCTGCCCAACTAGAAAAACACGAGCAAGAAGATTCGGACACAATTAAGCGTATGTCTGAGCTGTCTTCTCGTGTTGAAACTTTATCTGGTGAATTGGACGTTGTACGTTTAGCCGCTCGTGAAGCACGAACAGAGGCAAATATGTTTTCTCAGCAACGTGACCAATATCGTGCTTTATTGAAAAAATATGACATCGACTTATCTGATAAAGAAGAACTTAGTTCTGCTCAAAGTCAAGAGTCTATTTTAGATGATGTTAATCCGCTAAGTCGTTGTATGGTCAATAATAAGACTCCAAGTAGGTTTTTATTCTGCTCTCTACAATAGTCTTATTTATATTTAATAAAACTTCACCAAATGATCTGCGCTTAGAAGTGCCATTTCCTATATACCATAGGATTGTTTAAACAGTTTGCCACTGGTTGTTTTTTAATATTTTTTGTAGGTAAGGGTTCTCCTCCTAGCAATGGATCCTCTGCTGTTATTGAGCGTCTGGAAGGTGCCCTAAGCTCGTTACAGGCGGAATTTGCACGTTATCGGGAGGACAAGTTGGAGTCAGATCATGTATATACTACTACAGTCGATAGTCTACGAAGAGAATACAACGAAGCTCGACTGTTAAATCAGAAACTTAGCTCACAAGTTAGTGAATATTTGTACACTTCACATGTAATCATATGCCTCAGAAACCTAATTTTATGTTATAGGTATCAATATCAAGGTTTGACTTGATGGTTCCAAATAAATTGAGCATTGGGTAGCGAGTTGATAGTAAATATATTTTTTGTGATATCTCAGTGAGTAGAAAATTGTATTTCTGACGTTACGTGACTTGATGTAAACCACTTCTTCAAAGTGTATAAAAAGCGAATTAAATTAAATTATTTATCTACTCTGAAGTAATGGCTTATATTAAGTTACGAAACGTCAGAAATACAATTTCCTACTCATTGAGATATCACAAAAAACATATATAGTACTAATTTTATGTTATTGTTTCACAGATGGTTGGGTAATTCTCGATCAAGTAAAGCACTTGTGCGTAGTAATTGGTATCGGCTGGAATATAAGAGAGTCATGTAATAAAACATAACTAAGAGCATTTGGAAATACTAATTGGTCATCTTATCACATTCGATGGCAGGTCGTGTAAGTATTCTACATTAGAAAGCAAATAAAACTGATTTATGAAACCTGGAAAAATAGCTTCATATCAGTTAGACCAATTTACAAAAGATTTTTCCTTAGTCATGATTTCATTCCTTGGTCTAAAATTCCTTTTTATTTTAATGGTTGAAAAGTCTTAGTGTAATGCCAACTGCTGCAAAGTGTGTCAGTATTATATATATATATATATATATATATATATAGGTCAATCGTGAGTCCTAATTGTATTATCTCTTCAGTCTTGTTAAAACACCGTCTGTGGAGTTAGTGAGATATCAGTATGTTGATTATTTGATAAATTTATAGGTCACATGTTTGTACAAATCTTTATTGTTTAGACTTGGCTTCTTAAGACCTAATACACTAGATAGTTATTAGTTGAAACAGATGTGGTGAAGGATTTATAATAAACAAATAACGATAACGGTTAGTTTTTAGATGCGATTGTTTTCATTGTTTACCTATTGGACTTCAGGTTATGACAATAAAATCAATATTCTACAGTTTGGTGAATTGTACTTGGTCATATTTGCGTTTTTTTTCAGCTTGATTTTACTCACGAAAAGCTGCGTGCATCAGAAGCTAATGTCGCTGGATATAAACAAGAAATCACTATCCTTCGTGAAATGAATGCCCGCTACTCAACTTCTGCAGCCTCCAGTGAAGCAGAATTATCAAGACTTAGAGATGAATTAACCCATGCATCTGATCGCCTCACAACAGCAGAAGTGGATGCAAGACATTTTTCGCGACAGTTGGAAGCGGTGCGAGCTAATGAGACTCGTCTTAAACAAGAAATAGATTCATTACGCCGCCATGATCAAATCCATTCTCAGCTTATGCATCAACTTCAGTCTATACAAGTAATTTATAAAGCCTTTATATTTTCTCACTGTTTTTTCTCTATTAATTTCCCATAATCCGTTTTATTTTTAAGTTGTAATCATTTTACTTCGTTTAAGATTTCTTTTTTCTCTTTACCAGGGAAGTCTCGAACAAAGAGAGTCAATGGATCGTTCATTGAATGAACGAAAAATTGAACAGTTGGAGAAGCAACTATCTACTGTCAATTCAGCTCTTATAGATGCTTCCAAGGCCTCCCAAATAGCTCAACAAACTTTGCAACACGAGCTAGCCCTTTCTCGTGAGTCCGTAGAGTCTAGTGGCAGAGAAATTCAACAATTAAATACCCGGATACGAGATTTAGAGGAAAGATTGGCAGCTGTTAGATC